CGGGTGAGTTGCCATAGGCTACAGGCAGTTACAGGGCTTTGAGATTTTCAAACAGGAATTTAGGCCATACATCTGTTATCTAGACGGAACAAGCAAAAGGGGAGGATGAGTCTTTAGCTACTCTCCAGGTCACCCTACCCTTAGGCCTATGCAGCAAGCATATCTATAGAAGCAGAACAAAGAACTATTTATGAAGTTAACCATGTGAGTGAAAAATTGCTCTTCATTCCCCCTTTTGATGCCGTTTAAATTCTTATAGGGCATCAATCTCTTGATTTTCTTAACCTAGCGGTTGGTATAAGGGTTGTCCAGATGTCTTAACCATTTGTAACTTTATGTATGGATCCTAGGAGTGAAGAGACAAGATAGTTCAGGATATAGGAACCCAATAAAAGAGCTATGAAGAGCATGAGGGGAGGGCCTACAAATAGGAGAAGCCAGGATCCCCAACTCCATATTCTCAACCAGCATCCCCATGACTTGTTCAATCGTTGGTGGATTTTTGAGGCTCTATCTATAAGCCTCTTGGCTGTATCTCTAACTATACCAGACTGATTAACATAAATACAACATTCTTCTTCTAAAAATAAGCATAACCGTCGTTTTCTGCTGTTAGAAGATCAATTCCCCTCTAGTTTATTTTTCTGCTGTTAGAAGATCAATTCCCCTCTAGTTTTTTAAATTACTCTTGTTAGGAATCTAAATGGCTCTATGAAGTGACAATGATTTTGGATATGTCTTCTAAGCTGTCAAATAGATCCATAGATAAGCTTTGGTCATAAGACAGGGAGGAGGCTACGCCGACTGTGCCAGTGCCTAACCCTATGGCAATGCCAAGGCCTATAAGATGGGGAAAGAATTGTATCGCTCGTTTAGTTCTTGTGTATGTTAGAGGGTTGGTCATAGGCTGGTTGTTGGGAGCCATGTTTATTTCAGGGGCCACGTAAACCAGGGTACAGATTCCTGTCCACTTAGCCAGGAGACAGAGATATAAATTGGTTCTACAAAGAAAAAATGTAGTTGGGGTTCCAAGACAAAAACTCATCTCCATAGTGAAAAGGTGATCATTTGGCCTTCTGTTGTTTCAGATTCCTAGGTCAAAAGTGTCTCTGCTAGAATTGCCCCCATGAGAGGTTGGAGGGGTCCATAGGAATTATCCTGAGATGTTCCAGAGGTTTTATTTTCCCAATGCAAAAAATTTCTCTTAGTATCTATAGAGACTCGTTCAGTGAGGTTTCCATATGCTGGTAAGAGGAGGCATTGTCCTTGTGAGGGTTCAGAGCAGGATTTTCAAGGTAAGATGCTTAAGTAGTCATCTGGACTCCCTTAACGGTATTCTGAGTTTTTGTTTACTAACCCTATAGTTTTTATATTGAGTTTCCATGAGAATCATATAGGTTTCTTAAACAGAGCAGCCTGTGCTACTTGGAAACTAGACCAGTCTTTTGAGGGTTCTATTTGCATAGAATAATTGCAACGACAATCTTCAAGAGAGCCTACATTTGGGCTCTGGCTCTGGTGTTGACTTCTCTTGATACAAAGGGGTACCTGAAACTTAAGATTTGTATGAGTCGATATTGGTCCCCAAATTGGAGGCTCAGGAGAGGCTGCCTGAGTAAAGTTGGTTTTGTAGGGCATTGAGAGGTTACTTGCTTATCCTCTCAGTACCTTTAGTCATGTCAGTAATTTGGAAATCAAATAAAATTTCTATATTCATCAGTTCAAATGGATGGCCTACCTGATGCTTAGGGTGAAGGGTCATATTTCTTATTGCCCGTACCAGATGGGGATGGAGACAGCTGAGTAGCTGGCAGAACATGGAGATAGGCAAAGACAACAATCTTTAGCCAAGTCACTGTTGGGAGAGTTTAAGAGATGATAAGCTAAATTAAGTACTCAGTAACCATAATTTCGTTGTAGGGTGAGTTAAGAGACACCATTGCTTGGATTACCTGAGTATAAAGTCCTACTAGAATTAACAAAGGAAGGATTTTCCTCATGAAACAACCACTGGCAATTAGACAAAGTCTCTAGAAATGTACTGAAGAGGGGTTTAGCTTGAACATGCAAGAATCGAGAGGATCCCGATATAGGCTAAAAAGGTCAGGGCTAAAGTGACTCTTTGATTCAAGGTCAAATTTGTGGGTGCTACTGAGGCCAAACCTGAAGCAAGCAGCAAGATAAGTATACTAAAGAGGATTAATGCTAAAAGATGATAACAATACATCTGGCCAGTCCGAATGGTTGGTCCTCAAGCTTCTGCCATTCATGGACTGGCCAGCTTCTGGGAGTGGCCAGAGCAGGGCCGAAAATCTCAGGTGGATCTCTGCTGCCTCTGGAATATGACTCGGAGCGGCTGGTCAGAAAGAGGCTCCGCAGTTTAAGTCTCCCCTTTTTCTGAAGG